GCGAAAATAAATATTTATTTATTATAAAATTAAATTTGATATTTAATAATATAATAAATAATAAATTTATTTATTCAACGAACTACGAACTTTTCTTTTCTTTTAATCATTTGTATTTTTTAACATATTTAAAAAGTTGATGGTTATGAGTAGAGAATATAATGGTTGATTCGCATAATGATGAAAATAGACAGCATAAGTCTGGTACCAATCTCGCCATAAAAACAAACGCAATACTAAGAATAAGATGCGGATTGTTATTGAGATTGGTCAAATAAATAATGATCTCACCATAGTAATCAGTAATTATGAATATGAACAAATTTTTTTCTAAATTTAAGTCTTACACCTTAAATACTTGAATAATATCGTACGGAGAAAAGGCGATTAAATGTTGCTGACTTTTCAGCCTTGCGAATCACCTGTAATTAATTACTGGTAGAAGGCTCACCCTACCTCCTAGCAGAATCGACTAGTCTTTACCTTGGATATTTTCCAGATGATATAAGGAGGTTGAAAGCAATGTAGAGAATAAAAACTCTATTTAACAAATAAAGAAAAAAATTTTCAGAGAATTTAGCCTATTTTGGAAATTTGCAGATTTTTTTTTTTTTGGTCATACATATTGCCAGATGGATATTATTAGGAAACCTTAAATTATAAAAGGAAGCGATGAATGTGGGTCGAATAATTGCATCAACACTTCGCACTCTTCCATAATTGTTTTCAGCGGTGCAATGATACGTAGAATATGCAACATCTGATGCAATATATCCATTAGATAATGGTATAAGTAATGAGCCACCAGACAATAATAGCGATGAATTTTCTGTTGTTGTCACCTAAGAAATTTTTATTATTGCCAACTTTTTTTTTTTTTCTGAGAGAATTCACTATTTGTAATTGGCTTCGTGCTCATTGATTCGTCGGATCAGACAAATTTTGCCAAAGAATCACTTAGCCTCAGATATAGATGTGTAACTGAGTCTCTTAAATCCACTTAAATATTTTATTGATAAATTGACTTTTATAGAATAATTCCAAAAAAAAAAATATACCAATGGTTATCAACTGGTTTATCAGATATGCTAGCCAGTTGATTGCTAGAGCCAAAATTGGTTTATTATTTCGGATAAAAGAAAGAATACTCACAAATGCAATGCTTAGTAGTTCTCTAGATTGAAAATGAAGTGAAATGAAGTGATCACTATAAATGCAAATGCTTTACTCAAATACCTTTTCGATTCCATTTCGATACCAGCAAATTCGTGGAAAAGGTATTCCAGTAGCTCGACATTTTAGAAATAAATACATCTCACCACTTTGATTTGTATAATAATATTCAGGTTGCTTAATAATTATTGGTACTCCTAAAAGAAATTCTTTCATTTTTTTTATTTTAAACAGAAACAAAAAACTCTTTATGATGATGTTCGAATGGAAAATCCTATCAAAAAATAAATTGTTAATGTTCTAAACTCTCAATGAGAGATAATTTGAATAATATTCATTTGAATAATATTGCTTATTATGCATAAATTCTTATAGCCTTAGGCACCATAATTAAACGGATTCTTCATAAAAATTCAAAAATGTGCTGTTTAGCTAATAGTCCAGGAATTATCCGAAATTCTACACCAAATTCTATAATCTAACGATTGATCATAAATATTTTAAATATATTTAAATATATATTTTTAATAAAAAAATCATTTATATCAAAATTTCAATCGATCCAATTTATTATTTTCTTTAAAAATATTTCAAAAATTTTTTAAATACAATAAAAATATTCCCTTTTTTTCTCTAAAATTTAAAAAAAAAATTCTGAACAGTTTATTATTTTTAATATTTTATTAATTTTTAATAAAAAATTTTTTATACATTGGTTGTGTTTGATGGATTTCTTCATTCATTCTTTAAATGAATTTTGAAGTAAATCTGAGCACAATCCCTAATTTTACCGGTGCTGTATATTGTATATATTGTACATATTGTACATATTATGACTAAACAACAGCAGAATCGTTAACCAACCATATTTTTTGGAGCTCTCTTCCGAGAGGGCAAATCAGAATTGAAGAGTAAAGAAAATAATAGTTCGGTCGAATTAAATTCTAAATTTTTTTCCCCATAAAATGTCACGTATCAAATATGAAAAACATACTAATAACAAAACTTGTGATGAATGGTGTCAAAAACGAGGTGGGCCAGCAAAAATTTGGATTGATACAGTCAGAAAAATTTTTGAACGTAGACATGGTTGGACTAACGATATTTGGACTTAGACGATGTACAAAGACTGGAAAATGGAATTGCTTCTATTATTGTCAGCTATGATATAGCTTAGAAAAACCTTACTCTTGTAGCTAGAAACTAGCCCAACCAGTAATGGCGAGGGCTATTAGAAGAAGCATAAGAGTAAAATTCTCACCAAATCTAATTGCCCTCTAGCCATAAATAAATTTTGACGAGAGGCTCTCATCGTTGTAACCATTTAGGCGATTAAAAGCGAAAATGATCAGAGTTAAAAAAAATAGTTCAATTGAATGAATAATTCATATTTTAAGTGGCATATTAGGCCATTTACCAGTATGGAATTTTTCAAAAACCTATTTTTAATGAAAGTACCACTTAGAGTAATTATTGTCTTTATTGTCTTGAGAATTCGCTTTCTTGTAATTGCAATAGGTCTTTCCACTAAATAATTTGAATATTTAATTTTTTATTTCCTTGTTTATAAGCATTTTTGTCAGAATGCTTGTTCTATCATTTTTCCACCTTTGAGGCTTGCCTGGTCTTCTATTTTTATTTTTGTCATTTTTGAGACTTATTCGACCGTATATTTTTCACCTTTGATGTCTGGTCTACCACGTTTTATCAATGAATAAAATATCAATTATTACTACTTATTAAAATATCTATATGATTAAATATTAAGCAAAATGCTGGAGTGCTTAAGTAATTTTCGTATTTAGTAAAAATCAAAAATCAAATTAGGCTAATTCAATTGGGCTAAGCAAATTCTGCTTGGAATTTCTTTGGTAAAATGAGTTGAAAAGCAAATGATAAGCATCATTAAGATTTTTGAGGAATAGATTTTTGGCTGCAATCTATAATTTACGAAAGTCGTTATATCTTAACTATTTACCATTTATCATATTTTCAAATTTTTAGGATTGGAGATGCTAATTTTGTTTGAAGAATTTAAATTTCAATTGTTGGATTTTTTCTTTATATGAACAAATTTGCCAGAAATTGGATTCGTATGGCTGCTTGGTTGATTGCCACAATTCTTGAATTGCTGTATGATGAAAGCGTTGAGCCTCAATGGCATTTAAATTATATCCAAAAACTATTGCATTTCTACTATGCATGTGGGGGACCAGATCGCGCGAAAATGGCACCAGACGGAGACTATAGTTATTGGCCATGAAAAGGACCATGTGGTAGCACTTTCATTTCAATCTCCGACTGCAAACATAACATCATTTACTATGAAAGATGCTATTAATGAATTAAGTTCTGCATAAAAAGCTTAATCAAGATTCGTCTATGAGATAGGAGCAGATAATTAACCGAGGTATTGCAGAATTTCACTTTAAGAATACCAGAGCTGAGTGGAAAGCCTTTCACAAGTGGTGACTACAACCAAATTTTAGCCTACCATCCGAAATATAACCATAAGTCAATAGTTCTCATCGAACTAGGCATAATTATTTCTTTGAATCCAGAATTAATAAAAGAAATATTGGATAAAGTTTAAATCGCCTCTTTATAAACATTCTGACGTTCTATGCATTTCTAGTTAAGATTTCGCTGCTTTCACTCGAAATTACCGAGCATTTGACTTTCATTAAAGGATTTATAATAGTCGCCTTGGTTCAAGAATTTGCACCATTGCTTCTATCTTTACCTTTGCCAGTTCGTATCCACCGCTAAATGTTAGGTGATAGTAGGCGTATAAGCCGATGCTGTTCTGAGAAAACTATTCATTTGAAATACTTGAAAATGCCTCCTCATTATATTTTAATAATGCTATTCAACACTACAATAACCAGTAGAAAAAATATTTCATAGTAATTGAAAGTTATTATTATGGCTTTATTAATAATAATTGCTATTATTATATTATTATCACTCGTTATTATTAATTTATTAAGATATTATCTATTCGATGGAACTAAAAAAATTTATTTTCATTTCTTTTTTATTATTAAGCTTTAAAATTTTTTTATCATTTTTTATCATTTGATATCATTAGTTTTTAATAATTAGTTTTAATATCATTAATTTATAAAAAAACTTGAAAAATAAATTAAAATAAATCGTGAATAAAGTGAATTTCGACTAAAAAACAATTATCACTATCATTAATAAGAAAATCTATAATTTTTTTTAAAATACCGAAAAGTTAATTATCCTTGAATTATATATAATTGGTTAGAAATAGGTTTAAATTTTTTAGCGGCACTTTTCATGCAATTAAATGATAATGCAATTAAATCAACATAAAGATGAAATTTTTTTCACCTTTAACCAGTAGTAATTGTTGATAAAGGAGAAATCTTCTCGATAACATTGTTAATTGACAAATAAATGGTTGCGGTGCAAATGGACGCAGAGGTACACTGAAATGCACCATATAAACGCCGTTAATCATCCAAAATGGAAGGCAGGAAAAAATGTTTCAATTTGTTTGGAAGTAAAAATAATTGAATTGATTTGAATGCATACATTTCATAAATCCCATTTGGCATTCGTTGTAAATTCATAAATCGTACTGAAGACGTATCGTAGGCATTTTTAAAAAAATCGTAGCTAATACCTTTGATCGATTCTCCATCACTTTGCACCAACCAAGTCGTTATATGAAGGCCTTTTTCATAATGTTCCTTCATAAATTATAAATTATTGAAAATATGAAGTTTTTATTATTGGTATTTTGTATTTTGTATTTTTGTATTTATATTGGTATTATATTTTTATATTTTAAAATATTAATATTTTAATGTTTTTAATATTTTCGAAAATATATAGTTACTATTATTCGATTATTCAATTTGATCTCATTTATTTTAATTTAATTTATATTTAAATATAAAAACATTAAAATATATAGTTACTATTATTCGATTATTCAATTTGATCTCATTTATTTTAATTTAATTTATATTTAAATATAAAAACATTAAATAAATAAAATAAATAAATATAATTCGAATGTAATTTAGTGATTCAATTTAATTCATCTAAAAGAATTGTGAAAAAATCTCAAAAAATTTTCAAATATTTATTCTCGAAATAAAAAATTCTTTTTAAAAATTCAGCTATCAAAAAAAAGAGAATCACAATATCGCCATTCCGAAGATATTTTTTGATAATTCAATTTTTCATATTTCATAAAAAGATAGAAATAATTTGCCAAATTTTTCGTATAAGGCTGAATTTAAAAAGTTATAATAATTACATTAAGTAGATCGACGGTATCTTTGAACATTTCATTGAACATTTCATCATCTTCATTTAGCGTCAATAATATGGCTCCAGTGTTTTGGCAAATAATAGAAGCTCTATCAGCGTCAAACGCTTGAGGATATATTTTAATGCACTGATTTGATAAATAAGTCCAACCAAGTGGGCATTCCTTGGGATCTGAAAAAAATTGTTCCGTTATAATATTTAGAGCCATAAGATTGCAAAACTATTTTCTCAGCCGGAATATTCTCCACATTATCAAAAGCTTTAAGTCAATGCGATTTCTGAAGAAGGCATTATATGGATTAAAGCCTTTAGCAACTTATTTTCAGAAATCTTATTCATCGATGTGATTAAATCATCTATCTAGAATAAAGAATAATTCAGTAATCGCCAAGCATTCAATCTGTATCACCCAAAGTGATTATCGCCTTCCTTATGGACCACAGCAATATTTGGTTGTATATCCTGAACAATCTGATTTAAACTAGGATATGTCTCCATTGATAGAAAATTTATAAAAAATATCGACATTTCAAGGATCGACGAACCAGCATTACACGTTTCATTAGTTTTGCTGGAACTTTTGGTTCAATAGT